AATATACAATAAAATATATTCTCCTCTCTTCATAACAAAAATTTATTTCAAACATGTAAGCTACTGTTAATCCAGCCAAGGAACCAATAAGAAATCTTCCCTTTTCCTTTTTAAAATTTTTTGTTAAATATTTATTTTTTAGTTATAGTTGGACAATACCTTTATTTCACTTGTTTATTTTTATGTAGTGCTGAGGATCAAACCCAGGGTCCCACACGTGTGAGGCGAGCGCTCTACCACTGAGCCACAACCCCAGCCCTAAAATTTTATTTTTTAATTTTTTTTTTAAAGAGAGAGAGAGAGAGAGAGAGAGAGAGAGAGAGAGAGAGAGAATTTTTATTTATTTATTTTTTTTTTAGTTCTCGGCGGACACAACATCTTTGTTGGTATGTGGTGCTAAGGATCGAACCCGGGCCGCAGGAACGCGAGGCGAGCGTGCTACCGCTTGAGCCACATCCCTAGCCCGTGAGAGAATTTTTTTAATATTTATTTTTTAGCTTTTGGCAGACACAACATCTTTGTTTGTATGTAGTGCTGAGGATCAAACCCGGGCCACACGCATGCCAAGCGAGCGCACTACCGCTTGAGCCACATCCCCAGCCCAAATTTTATTTTTAATTGACAAATAATATTTGTATTCTTTTATTTATGGGATTCTCCTAATTTTTTATCCTAGATGACTATTTCATAAAAATTAAACAGTTTCTGCTTCCTTCTCCTACTCTTCTTGGTATGAATTACTACTTAAAGCTCTAAACACTCACCCTTATCTAATTCCTTGTAATACAAATCATTTCCCTCTTTCTTCCACCATATCTTTTACCCACCATGTTTTCTTCAGATAGACAGCTCCTGCCCCTTTCCCTCTACCCACCCTGAGCCTATGCTATGCTCTCTTCCACGCACGCCATGTCACCTGGCTTTCCCCAAACATCAGTGCATACACAGATGTACTACTGTTCTCTTGGGTCTAATATACAAAGTATGACTGTAAGTGTGACAACAGTGCTGTTCTCTCAGAACACAGATGAGCAAGTGCTGATACTTCCTGTAGTTGTCTTCCTACTCTAATTAAACACTCAGAATTCAAGGCATTTTTTAATGAACTGAAGAAAAATCTAGATATATACTCAACATTCTTATTTTTTAAATTTCTTCAAAACCATAAGATGGTATCAACATTATTAGTTTAGAAAATAATTTGGTGAATTAATGTGCTAGACAGTCTTAACGATCCAACAACCATAGAAAATGAATACCCTTTTAAATTCAGCTGAACCTTAAAGAAACTACCTTTTTGTAGGTCGAAACATGCATCACCCACATTTTCATAGAAAAATTAAGTCCCAGGTCACACAGTAAGTGACAGTTAACTACCCACCTCTCATCCTGACGGATTTTTCCCATGTTCAAAATAGTAAAGACATACCTTCTTAGCAGTTTGTGAATGAAATAAATTCAGACAGGAAAAAACTGTTTTAGTGTAGGTTGTAGCTCAGTGGTAGGGCACTTGTCTAGCATGAGTGAGGCACTGGGTTCGATCCTCAGCACCACATAGAAATAAATAAATAAAAATAAAGGCACTGTGTCTCTATCTACAACTAAAATAATAAAGAAAAAATCTTCCCAAAGAACCTCTGGTTGGCCTAGTTCACTAGGCACTAATTCCAGGCCTAAATTCCAAAGACGTTAATATGGTACTTTCCTGTATTATTACTAATAGAGAGCTTATGAATATCAAGAAATAGAATATTACTATACTAGTCACTGGTCAGCCTACCCAGAATACTGACAATCTGAACACTAGGACCAGGCATGGAGAGGGATGTTCGTGTTAGAAATGGGTCTGACACTAGATTAAAACAGAAAACCACTGATGAAACAGGGACTACTTACCAACTTAGAGAAGCCCACAACAGAGAGGAGATACAAATAAGAAACAGTCAGATTAAAAAGGTCATTGGATTTGAAGGAAAATGTGTGTAGATTTATTTAGGACAAAAGTTGTGGACTTGACTTTCCTAAGTTATATAACTTTGGTTACTAATTTGAGATCTGTCTCTTCTTCCATAAAAAGGAATTAACTTTTGACTTGTATCTCACAAGTTTAAAACAATGTGTGTGTTTGAAATAGTGAACAGTAAGTGTGGCATGTGTGTCTCTAAAGTTCTCGGTCATATGATGTGAAACACTGACCTGAATCTACTCTGTGATGTGTCTGAAGACAAAACTGGAACCAAAGGGTGAAAGTACAAAAGCAGATGTCACGTTCATGGGAGTCTAACAACAAAACAGGCCATGTGCACCTGTGTTTTATCTGTTGTAATGTGCCCAAAAGAGACTGGCTACATCAACGTAGGACATTATAGGGTATATTCTTCATCACATTCTTAAGTTTCTTCTCAAATATAAGTTCCCAATTAATTTATTTCAAGCCACTTCCAAAAATAAAATGCACATCCAAAGAATAAACACTTGCTATGATTAAGAATCCAGAAGGACTGGAGGGAGGTGTAGCTCAGTGGAGGAGTATGTGCTTAGCCGGTACAAGACCCTGAATTCAATACCCAGCATCTCTCTCTCTCTCTCTCTCACACACACACACCAGAAAACAATTTCAAAAAGGTAGTGTTGGGCTGGGATTGTGGCTCAGCGGTAGAGCGCTTGCCTCTCACGGGCGGGACCTGGGTTCTATCCTCAGCACCACATAAAAATAAAGGAATTGTGTTGTGTCCATCTACACGTAAAAAAATAAATATTTTTAAAAGAAAGGCAGTGTCAAAGTAAATATGAACATCAATACCACGGTTGAAACAAAAGTGAAGGGAACATTCATTGTAATAAGACCCTGTGCACAGTGTTTACAGTGAGAGTAATATATCCCATCCAAATTGTATTAAACACAAAACTTCAATCTTACCAGAAATCATTTTTAAAAGTCTATTCTAGTAACATTATAATGTTATAACATTATAACTCAAAGTTATAACATTATAACTCTAGTCTATTATAACTCAAAGTATTTCTTACAAACTAAAAGAAAGTATATAAACACAAAACTTCAGTTCCACCTTTACACTGATCTTTATAAGTCACCAGAAGGATAAACTTGTCATAATTACACCTCCTTCTCCGTTCCAGCTTCCTCAAGTATGAACACAAGGATACTAAGATAGTTCAATGAAACAAAAAATTTTCCATTGTGAAACACTGGTATTTTACTATATGGCTAATAAAGCTCCTAATAAAGCAATTTCAACTTTTTTTTGAGGGTTGGCTGGGAGGATGAAAGCAGTGGGGTACTCTCAATAAAAATAAAAAAACTAAAATTTTATTTTATTTACTCTTTGTTTACCACAACTGTGAGGCAAAATGTTCCTAATGAATATTCTGAGAGAGCAGATTTCAACCACAAGATGGCACAATTCTAGAAAATAAATAAACTGAACTTCAATACAAAGAAAAAGGATAAGTATTCCAATAACAGACTTTGGAATATCTATAATCACAGGGGAAACCCTGTATTTTAATGCCACCTGTTTTTTTTTTTTTCCCCCTTTGGAAATACCTTGCTACTGTTTGGTTGTACCAGAAATAAATTTATACTACAGTTAAAATTTCTAATTTTATTTTAAAATAAGAAGAAAAAATAAAGGCCAGAAAAGTCTCTTGTTCAGGGTCTCTTTAAGATCTGTTCTCTAGAAAAAACTATCAATATTTAATGTTTCCTAAAATGGTTATTATAAAGCCTACATTTCATAAAGTCCTGATACTAATTAAATGAGTACTTTCAAAACTTTTTCAAACTATGAACCACGCTGCACCAGAGGTAGCAAAAACAGCATGAGTGTGTCCACCCTACTCACTCCTCATCACTGCTGCAAAGCAACCGAGTCTGAACTATATCACTCCTAGGGTAGAGACCTGTTGCTACTGACAGCAACCAGGAAGCTGACTAGGGAGGACTTAACAATGACTTCTCCAAATAACTGCACAAGGACTGGGCCTCAGTAGCTTTCCCTGATCATTTATCTGTACTTGCTAGGTGCGAAGCCCTCTGCCAAGACACGAAGATTTCAAAGACAACATTAACCCATACACGTGGAAAGTGCGCAGATGACTGACAGGATGCTCCTGTAAACACATGCAGAAAATGACAACGAGTGTGTGTTGAATACTGAATTTACGTTTATCAGAGATTGAGAAATAATTCACACCCTAACACACAAAAAAGATACAGACCTCGCACCTAGCTAGTACTGATGAATGATTAGGGAAAGCTACTGAGGACTCGTTTTAAATCAACTCTATGTTAGGGAAAGGGTGCCGCACCAGAGGGCCCTGGCTACTGCACACTTACATTCATTTAAGGTTCCCAAGTTCTCCGCTTCCTTAAGACGACCCAAGACGTCTCCTGTGAAGACCAGCACGGTCATCTTTAAAGCCCGCAAAAGGTGAGAACGTCTACTTTCCTTGACAAGTGCAACGATGGGGATCGTGCCCGTCCTGACGTCGCGAGTGAGTCGGATTAGGGCAACTCTGAAGCTAAAAGGCGCCCTAGAAGGCTCCAGTGACCGCAATAGTGAAGCCTGCCAGGCGCTCCCCGCGTTTTCAAACTGCGCTTCGGAAACCGACGCGTGGACAACACCCATTATGCACGCGCGGCGGCCGAGGCTCGGAAGCAGAGGGCCAGCCAAGGTCCCCAGGCTCGCGAGGGGCGGGCGGACGCCGAGGGTCAGAGGTGCAGGACACCCATGGGCTGCTCGGGGCGGCGGCGTGTCCCCAGCGCACGCGGAGGGCAGAGCACTCGTGAAGCACCTGAGCCACCACTGAGAACTGCCCGGCCCGTGGCTCCGCCGGGTCCTCCTCGCCCAGCCACCTAGGCACCGCGAAGGGCAGGCCACTCGAACGACGCGGGCGTCACGGCCTCCCCGCGCGCACGGACACGGCGAGGCCCAGCCGCGGTTCTCAGACCTTTCCCCCGCGCCCCCAGGACTCACCGACTCGCGGCCGAAAGCCAAGTCTTACAGAGACCCGAAGGCCGGGTGCCCAGGGCTCGCACAGCCGTCCCGCAGGAAGCGAACTCCCAGCCGCGACCCGCCCCGCCTCCGTCGCGGCCTGGGCGCATGCGCAAGGCGGCCCGGACGGGCCCATCCCGCGACGCCAAGGGGGAAAGAGAGCGTGTCCACCAGCACTACGGCGCCCGTGCGGCCAACCAGTGAAGGAAGCGGGCTTCGTGGCCGAGCCTCCGTATATCCACAACCTCTTCTCCCGGGGAATGTGCCGCGGGTTCACCCAGCCTCACTTCCGTCGCGGCCCTCGTGGGCCTCCGTGCCCCGGGCGCAGGACAAAATGTGCGCTCCAGGGGCGGAGCCTGCAGGCGGCGGGAACTGCCATTGGTGGGTTTGAAGGCGCCTCCGCGGGCACCGCTGCTGAGCGGACTGCTGCAGATGTGGATCGGTAAGACAGCCCTGGAGGCCTGAGATCGGGCCGGAGGGTGGTAAGAGCCTCGGATAAGCCAGACCCCAGACCTCCAGGGAGCCTTTTCTGCGACTGCCGCACGTCCGAAGGCCCTGGTTTGGCTCTGGGTCTTGGGCAGGAGGTGGGGCCTTTGGATTGGGCTGAGGTAGAAGAAGGCGGGTGACCTCACTTCCGCCCGCCGTGGGGCGGGACCTTGCGTGAAGTGCAAATCTGCTTTCCAGCCGCGCTGAGGTCACGTGGCGGAAGACACTGCGTTCAGCTGTGGGTTTCTAAGGTGCCTGGAGTTGAGATTTTGTTTTGGTGTTTAGTTCCCCTTCGCTTCCGTCGTTTTGTTCACGCAATCTCTCGTTTCACACGTATGCGCTCTGCTGCAGCAGTGCATGTGTACAGGAATGTTACTTAGGATCTTTTTCTGATCTATTTATTCCACAAATACAACTTAGGTACCTGCTCCATGTCGAACACTGTGCGAAAAGCACTAGGAAGTAGACAAATTTTAAAGGTCGTTTTGCTGGTGAGATTGTGTGATCTTTTTACCAGACTTCTTTAGAATGGCATTCTGCAAAATTGACCTAAGATTAAGAATCATCTGATGTGCTTCTTAAAAAATATTAAATCTCCAACCTTACTTACATGTGCCCTCCCCCAATTCTATTTAGTGGACCCCAGGCATCTTCATTTTTAAGAACCCTCCCAAGTGTTCCTAATAGGGGAAGCTGGTTTGATATTTCACTAACTGTTGAACCCAAATCCTTCCCAGGTTATATCTCAGGCATGTTGCTTAGGGATAGTGTCTAGTTATTTGTTCCACAAGTATTTATCCGGTACATGTGAGAAGGTTCTTGGACTGACTGGAATTACTGAATGGGCAGAAGCTGTTGTGCATTTTAATGTTATAGCTATGAATAAATAGGCATAGTGCCCTGGAGCATAATACAATATCATAGGTACAATAAAACAATATGGTTAATTTCAGATAGTACTGTAAAGACAATAAGCAATGGAAATGGGGAAATAATTTTGATTGGGTCCTCAGAACAAGTCTGCGGATAAACCATCCAAGCTGAGACCTGATATTGTGATACGGATCTCAGATGTTCCCCAAAGGTCCACATGCTAAAGGCTTGGTTGCCAGCCTAAGGCACTGTTGGCAGGTGGTGAAATCTTCAGGAGCTGAGGCCTGGGGACTCCAAGGAAATTGGGCTGAGGTAGAAGAGGGTGGGAACTCCTGAAAGCAAGTTAGGTCATTGGCAGGGGTGTCTTTACTGGGGGACTAGGATCCAGACACTCTCCCTCTCCATTTGCTTCCCAGCCTCCATGAGATGAAAAGATCTCTGGCAGACACTCCATGATGTCCTGTGCTGTCCCAGGTCCAGAGCCACGTGCCAAGCCCATGGAATGAAACCGTGAGCCAAAATGAATCTTTGCTTTTTATAAGTTGTTTATTTCAGGTATTTGTTACAGCAGAAGGAAGCTAACATACCTGATTTACAACAGGAAATCCCATGTATATTTGTGAATACAAAAAGAATCTTCTGGGCAGGGATAATTGCAGGTACAATGGCACATCACCAGAGGGGTCATTCTGTCTTGTAGGAACTAAGAGGCCAGTGTAGCTGGAACTCAGAAAGCTAAGAAAGCAAGGACCAGACAATACAGGACCTTAGAGATCATGGTGAACATTCTAGTATTGACCTTAATGGAGGGTGGTCCTCTATCTAGACAAGTCAACAAGTTAGACTTTTGTTTTTATAGTCCTAATTCTGTCCACACTGTTCCTTGAAGTCCATAGGCCTCAAGACTTTTGCATTTGTTCTTCTCTCATCCTAGAAGGCTCTTCCACTGGATGACTCACTCCCTGTCCTCCAAGGATTGCCTCAAATGTCATCACCTCTATATGGCCTAATTTTCTCTTTACTCACACCTCACTATTCTATTTTCTCCAGAGAATTTTCCTCTTTTAACATATTCTGTGATTTTCCTGTTGTCTCTGTGCTCAGTAGAATGGATGTTCCATGGGTGGTTTTTTTTTTTTTTTTTTCCTGGCTAAAAATATAACTATCCCAATACTGAGAAATTCCTACCATACAGTGCTCAGAAATGGGTTACATGAGTCAGTGAATGAAAGAATGATTTACATATCCTTTCTATCAAAAGATCAGAGTACTCTAGCCAAGAAAGGAGCAATAGTGCTTTCTTAGTCTCTTTTGTGTTGCCATAACAAAATATCTGAGACTGCCTACTTTATAAAACAGAGAGGTTTGTTTAGCTCACAGTTTAGAGATTGAAAGTCCACCATAGAGTGGCCTCTGGTGAGAGCTACTTGGCTGCATCAGAGCATGGTGGAAGGCTTCATGGCAGCATGTATTAGAGGAAAGCAACACATACAGAAGAGAGATCAGATGGTTAGAGAAGCAGCAAGAGAGCAAGTGGGGAAAGCCAGACTCACTTTAGAACAACACACTCTCAAGGGAACTCATCCAGTCTGAGACCTGACCTGTTGCCATGAGAAGACATTCATCATTTCTGAAGATGTTGGCCCAGTGACCAATGTACCTTACATTAGGCCTCCACCTCTTGGAGATTCACCAACTCTCATTACTATTACATTGGGGATCAAACTTGCAGGATATGAACCCGTGGGGAAGAAACCTATTTTTATAAAACTCTAAGGTATATTTAATTACTTTTTTTAAAAAAGTTAAATCCTTTGTTTGCAGAGTGGCTAAAAGGGGAAAAACATTTGGATATTTGAGCTCCAAAGCAAAATCCTAGCTAGAAATATGATACTGAAAAATTCACGGTTTAGTTAAACTTGAATATTTGATTGGTACTTTGTTGTGCTCTTTTTGTTTCTGTTTTGTTGAAGTGCCAAAGAGATGGATGAGACTGTTGCTGAATTTATCAGGAGGACCATCTTGAAAATCCCCATGAATGAAATGATGACAATCCTAAAAGTCTGGGATTTTTTATCTGAAAACCAACTTCAGACCATAAACTTCCGGCAGAGAAAGGAATGTCTGGTTCAGGACTTGGTTGGGCTGTGTGAGGTAACAGTGTTTAAAAATCAGACTCAGGGCAGGGGCTGCAGCTTAACCATATAGCACTTGGCTGACCTGCAGGAAAAAAGGCTCAGCTTGAACAGCAGCATGCTGCTCCTTTCTTTCTTCCTTCCCTTAGAGTTGAAGAAACTGATTTTAAAACTTAAAAAGAATATTTACAAGTCATTAAGAAAGATTTATTATTTTGAAGCATAACTCTCCAAGGCAAGAAATAAAGGGAGACCCCAGGAGATAAGAGATGTCAACAAAATTTAGGATGCTGGAAAACAGAACAACAATATGAAAAATGAAAAGGTATTAGATCTAATGGATTTAGCAGTATATAAAAATTAATCAATATGTAAAAATTAATTATATTTCTCTATACCAGTAATAATAGTTGGATACTAGAATTCAAAAATACATGTGTATCTATGTTACCATCAAAAAGTATGAAATATTTAGGGAAATATTTAACAAGATGTATAGGAATAGAAACAATTCCTACAAATAGGAATAGAAACAAACCTACAAAATATTGCTAAAATAAATTAAAGAAGCCCTAAATAAATGAGAGAAAGACTGTAAGTCAGAAAACTGGATATTGTTGTCAGTTTTCCCCTGATTATTCTGAGAATCCCTTGGAATCCCAATCAGAATTATGCAGGGGGACTGGGATTGTGGCTCAGCGGTAGAGCACTCACCTAGCATGGGCAGGACCTGGGTTCGATCCTCAGCACCTTATTAAAAAAATAAAGGCATTGTGTTATGTCCATCTACACCTAAAAAATGAATATTTTTTAAAAATTATGCAGGCATTTTTATAGAAATTGTCAAGCTGATTCTGAAATCTGTATGTAAAAGCCAAAGACCCAGCTTAGCTAAAATAGAAAAAGATAAAAGTTGGAGAGCTAAGACTACCCAAATTCAAGATGACTGACAAACTTTAAGTCGACACATTTTTGATCCTGTCCATGCTTCCCTCTACCCTCTCCCATTCTCCCCTCTCTACCTCCAGACCAGCCTCTTTTCCCAGTCCCTGAGCCATCCTCTTCTACTCTTAGGTCATCTTGTTTTTGTTGTTGTTGTTATCTGATTCTTTATAAAGATTCAAAGAGTAATTCTGTGGATCCGAAGGACAGATCTTACATCTATGCCTTGAATAGCATCAGTACAATGAAGCACAGTACATATTAAATGATTATTTGGGATGAGGGATAATAACCAGCAGGCAAAAGCTTGACTTTAGTGATCTAAAAGCCGAAATAATTATATGGCATTTTAAATCTCTCTCAATTCTGTATATACATTCATTGTGGTGTCATGACTCAATTACTTCATTGAAAAGATTCTCCCAACCCCCACCCCACAAAAAAAGACGGGGATCTAGTAATATGACCTACTAACTGAATAAAAACAAATTAATTCTTGGTCTAACAATTTGCAAATTTTTTCTAAAGTGGTGTTGTTTAACTTATATCTTTTACTAGTTATGTTTATGAAAAATTTAAACTAAAACATTGCCAAGAACTTTTAATTAAAGTACTATTGATCAGTTTAAAAAGAGTAATTTTGTGAAGAAGGGATGATCTTTTCAATAAATGGTGCTGCAGTAGTTGGATATTCATATATTTAAAAGAAAAAGGACTGAAGTTCTTTATATATATACATATATATATATATTTGTGTATATAAATATATATACACTTCGAAATGGATCTAAGACCTGAACGTAATACCTAAAAATCTTAAAACATGTAATAGAAAACAGGAGAAAAATCTTTGTGTCATTAGACTAGTCAAAGATTTCTTAGGTACAATGCCAGAAACAATTCAAAAAGAAAAAAAGTTGACAGACTACATGTTCCCAAAATTAATGACTTTTTCTTTGAATAGTATTGTTAAAAGAACTAAAGATAAGCCCACAGACTGGTGGAAACTATTTTTGAAATCATCTGATAAAAGTCTGTATCTACAGCATATAAAAAAATTCTAAAAACTCCAGCTGGGTGTGTAGCTCAGTGTTAGAGTACTTCTCCTCACACCCATGAGGCCCTAGGTTTAGTCCCCAGCACTGCAGGAATAAAAAATTTCTCAGGACTCCATAATAAGAAAATGACCCAATTTTTTAAATGGGCAAAAGATTTAATTCAACACATACTGTCCCATGAAGACTCATGGATGGCAAATAAGCATATGAAAAGATGTGCAAAGTCATTAATCTTTAGAAAAATGAAATTTAAAACCCTAAAATATCCCAACATATTGGAATTGCTAGAGTTTAAGGTTGATCATACTTCTATTGGTAGCTGATATATGGAGGAACTAGAACTGTCACACTGCTGGTGGGAGTACAAATGGTACAGCCATGGGGCTGGGGATGTGGCTCAAGCGGTAGCGCACTCGCCTGGCATGCGTGCGGCCCGGGTTCGATCCTCAGCACCACATACGAACAAAGATGTTGTGTCCGCCAAGAACTAAAAAAAATAAATGTTAAAATAACAAATGGTACAGCCACCGTGGAAATCAGTTTGGAAATTTCTTTAAAAGTTAAAGTGAATGCATACCATGGATTCAGCCATTCCACTCCTAGGCATTTATTTACTCAAGAGAAATGAAAACATGTCCACACAAATATATATACACTTATATAGCAGTGTTCATAATAGCCAAAATCTGGAAACAATTCAGATGTCCATCAGCAGATAAATAGATAAACAAATGATGATCAATCTATGCAGCAGAATACTAAGCAGTAAAAAAGAAATGAATCATTCATAGATGAACAAATATGGCTAGGTATCAAATCATTATGCTGAATAACAGCAGCCAGACAAAGCTGGGCACAGTGGCACACACCTGTAATCCCAGCTAGTCAGGAGACTGGAGCAAGAGCATCACAAGTTTGAAACTAGCATGGGCAACTTAGTGAGACAAAGAATAAACAGAGCTGGGCATGGAATCTAGTGGTGGAGCCTCTGGACTCAGTAACACACAAACGAGTACAGACATGTTAGAACTGGAGTCCATATGGAACTCCAGAAAATGCAAACAGATGTGTGGTGGCAAAGCAGATCAGTGGTGGTCTTAACCAGGGGTGGGAGTGAGAGGTGAGGAATGAGAAGGGTGGAAGGGGAGGATAAAAAAGACACCAAGAAAAAGGGCAAGGGGAGTAAAAAATATATATCAGGGGTTGGTGGATGTGTTCTCTGTCTAAATTGTGATGACATTTTTATGGGTATATTCATAAGTCCAAATTTACAAATTTTAAGCTTAAATATGTGCAGCTTAGTGTTGTTAATTATACCTTAATAAAGTTGATTTTTAAAAATCCATGACACCAAAAATAAATGAACAAAAAGTTAAAAGTGATACGGAGGGGGTAGAGTTGTAGCTCAGTGATAGAGCGCTTGCCCAGAACGTGTAAGGCACTGGGTTCGATCCTCAGCACTATATACAAATAAATAAAAAATAAAGGCATTGTGTCCATCTCCAACTGAAAATATGTATTTTTTTAAAAAGTGATAGAGGATAAATTCTGGGAGAATAGCTGTTAAGTGCCTGGACTACAACCAGAATCAGGTTTGTCTGTTGGTGAACAGAAGAAAGTGGATGAGAGACAGGTGGTCAGTGGAGTGTGGAGGGCATGCTGAGTCTGTTCTAACCTGTCCTAAAGTGTGCTTTAAGGGGGTAGCACCAAGCCTGTCTCATTTCCTGTTTATCCTCTTTTCCAGGAGAAGTGTGCAAGTATAGACGATGCAGCCCTTCTAGACATCATTTGTAAGTTTTGATGATTTGTATTTACTCAGCCAGTTTTATCAGAGGCAACTGTGTACATATGGATGCAGATTCTAGAGTCAAGGGAACCTGGTGTCCAGTCCTAACTCTGCCACTTACTTGTCTCGTACCCTTTTCCAAGTTGTATCACTTCTCTAAACCTCGACTTCTAAGTAAATGGAGCTGAGTAGTACCTACTTCAAGGACTGTCGTGAGAAATCAGTGAGAATGTGTGGGTTCCTGGCACAGAAACTGGCACATCATAAGCAAAAAATATTTGTTGGGCTTTATATTATTGTAGAATTTGAAAATGCATTTTTGAGAATTTGTTATTACACTGTAGCTTCTCACCTTTCTGCCCTTCTGTTTCTTGGATTTTGTTTTGAGAAATATGTTTTTGGTTTTGGTTTTGACTTTTTATGTGGGACCAAGAACGTGGACCACAGGGCCATATTCCTTGGCTCCATCACTGCCTCTCTGTGAGCACGGGTTGGGGGTGGGGGTGGGGGGAAGTGGCTAACATTCCTGTGTCTCAGTATTTCTACTTGACAAATCTGAATAGCAATGATAATATCACATAAGGTTGTAGTGAGGATTGCAAATAAGAGAGTGCACGACAAGTATTTAGAACAGGGCCTGGTATTTACTGGTTAGTTCTATGACAGGGAAGTGTATCATATGTCATCTTTATTAACACTTTGCTCCAACTGTGACATAACTGAATCTATTTAGAGTACTTGCCTCTGATTTTATTTGTCTCATTTCCGACAGTTGGATTCTAAGCCACAAATGTGTATCCACATAGTTCCCTTTTCTCGTGCATTTATTTAAATATTAAGCACTTACTGTGTATCAAGAAGTATGCTAGGCAGTGGTCAGCAGAACGGGTGACACTTCCTTAGATGCCTTAGTCAGTTGAAGAGAGAGGTTAAACAATTCACCAAAATACATACTAGGTTTATGAGAGAACAGTGGGACCCACTGTTCTGCAGGGGTTTAGGGAAACTTCCTGAGGTAACACTATTTAAGCTGTGATCCAAAGGATGAGTTAGCACTAACCAGGCAAAGGTGAGAAGGGAGGTTAAAGAGCAAGACAGGAAAGGGTAGAAACAAGAGAAAGTATACCTAGGAGCAGAGAGAAGGTGGGTAGTAAAAGCTCAGTGCTACAGGAGAAGGGTCCAGCTGGGCTCAAGGGTTCAGGGAGGGGAGTCTGTTAATAAAAATTGAGAGGCCTTTAGCCTATTCTGTATCCTAAGAATAATTCAAAGTCTTTGAAGGATTATGAGCAGGAAAGAAGTAGTTACAGCACAGAGACTAGAGAGGATGGAGAGGGCCGGTGGGAGTCTTTTGGAGAGGTACAAATGAGAGGATTGTGGCCTGGGTGAAGTGGTAGGGAGGCAACAGAGGGTTTGGTGGGGCAAGGAATACCAGGATTCAAACTGAAGGGGCTTTCAGGCAGCCTGAGGGGAGCGAGTGGAAGCACATATGTCTGCTCATGAGACTAGAGGAGAAGCCTAGAAGTTTCACCCGCAGGTGGATAACATTTGTCACAGAAGCCAAGGACTAGTCTAGCCTGTGTTCTCTTTCAATAAGAAATATTTTTCTTTGTATTTAAGTCCTTGCCATTCATTTCATGAACCTTTAGATACTGTTGTTTAATGGCATTAACAAATAATTTTTATTCCTATCGTTACACCCACCTTATTTAGAGACCAACTAGCAGACCATCTCAATTGTGAACCACAGGACCAAGGAAGAGTGTACTAGAAGAAAAAAGACCTTAGGGTGCTATCTCTTGAGCAGGCACTACAGTGTACCTGTTTACCCTTGCTTTAGACAAAAGCAGGTCATCAGTGGGAATTGTTAGGCCCATTGCCATAATGGGAGGGGAAGGCGGGCAAGGGGATATCCAGGCACCAAAAGAGAATCGATGCTGAACCCAAGAAAAGGGGAGAAAAGCAAGTGCCAGAAGCACTGTAAGGTGGGGCCCGGGAGTGCTGGTGCCCACACCCCTCTGTTTGGGATGGAGGAAGCCTGGTCTGGGTTGACACAGGGAGGTCAGTGCAGGGGTGGTCTAGGGCTGAACATGCTAACTCTCTAGGTTATTTCCCAAGTTTGCACTCCTAAAGACTACCTTGGCACATTCATCCCTTCCTTCTCAGATGCACACGGAAGGCTTTATGCCCCAGCGCTTAGATCTAGGACTAGAGTGTGAATGAGGCCCTCATTTCCATGAGAATCTAGCTGGGTAGACAAGTAGTATATAAATGAGTGCCTGAACTTGTAATATCAGGTAGTATGAGTGCCCTGGAAGGAACAAGGCAGGGTGAGTCCGTTCCTCTGTCACACAGAGAAATTCTGCATTATGTGGAGTGGATTTGTGTGGGTATAATAAATGCTCTAAGAATAAGTGATGGAACCGAACTGTATTATCTAGGTTGGTTTGAATTGATAATTAGGATCTATTTATGTTTAAATTAAATTTAATTGGGCTGGGGATGTGGCTCAAGGGGTAATGTACTCACCTGGCATGCGTGGGGCACTGGGTTCGATCCTCAGCACCACATAAAAATAAAATAAAGATGTTGAGTCCACCGAAAACTGAAAAATAAATATTAAAAATTCTCTCTCTCTCTCTTAAAAAAAATTAAATTTAATCCATATAAAAGTTTATTTTGGATAAGAATCACTCAACTTGTGAATTACAATTTTTTCCTTCAGTCATATTATTGAAAATATGTATTTATAAGCACATTAGTTCAAAGTCCTAAGATACAATATAAATAAGCCCTTCTTTTCTCAGATACTCAAGTACATCGGCACCAAAAAGTTTGGGATGTTTTTCAGATGAGTAAAGCACCAGGTAATATTTTCTATTTTAAATTGAACTTTTGGGTTTGATAGCTTGACAATTTAAGATGAACAGCAGTGTGTCCTCTTAACTTTCTTTTGAAATGAGGAGACTGCGACACTTAACACCCGGTGGTACCATGTCACGGGTAGTGGAAGCCCCTGTGTGATCTGATCATTCTTGCTCTGAGTCTGCACAAGATGCTTAGCTTTGGGGTCCTTTGCAAATATTTTTTTTAATACATTGTAATTCCCTTAATTTTTCTTTTCACTTTGATAGATGAAGATGTTGACCTTTTTGACATGGAACAATTCAAACGTTCTTTTAAGAAAATTCTTCAGAGAGCATTAAAAAATGTAAGCATAAAATTCAGTTTAATGACATCTCTGCTACTGTCTTGGGTTGTTTTTTTTTTTTTTTTTTTTTTTTTTTTTGTAAGAAACTGAATTAGTCATGTTCCACAATGTTTTACTCTGTATCAAAGACAAACACTTTAGGTAGTTTTTAAATTCCCCTCATCTGTGCATTCAGGGCCTGATGCTTCTTTCTCTGGAGCAGTGCCATCCAAAAGAACTGCAGTGATGAAATCTTCTCTGTCACCATTGTCCAGTACAGTAGCTAGTAGCTACACAAAGCTGCTAGGCACTCGAGATATGGCTACTATGGCTGAGCAACTGAACATTTCATCTTGTGAAACTTTAATGAATTTCCTTTAAATAATCCCATGTGTGGCTAATGGCTCTGTTACTGGTCAGCACAACTCTGGAGCACCCTTGATTTTACAGACATTGTTGCTTTTGTAATGGGAAGCAAAGAAGCTCTCCAGTGTTAAGACCCCCTTCTATTCTAGCTGACAGAGGTCCACTGAGCTGCCAAGGGAGCCAACCAAGGTTTGCACCTCCACACCCAGGATGGGAGAACTCCTTGTCTCCTGCACCAAGGGGATTTGGGAAAGCAGCCAGATTCAAGGGGGCAGAGTTTGCTAGCACCAGCAGCCACCATGTAACAACTTGTTTTTCCTGTAGTAAGATCTGCAAGAGAGGAACAGAGCAGGCAAGCCATGTGTACCTGTCTTGAGTTCCTCCTTTCCAGGCTCAGCCCAAGGGGAAGTTGACTAGGGCAAGCTGATGAACTGGGAGTGGGCTATTAAATTCCAGTCCAGCTGGTAATCTTATTTCCAAGTTTACTTATCTACACCTGAAAACCAAGTAGAACTTCTTATATTCTTGTCATTTAACATTCCTCCTTAAGTACTTTTTAGCTTCTGAACTAAATGTGTAAGAGCCATTACTACATAGAAATCTTACTACCCAGCTTTATAGTGTGCACTAGGTCTGTGCTATCTCATTTGTAAAATTGTCTTTATAAACCTTTATATGTGGAACACCACTTTCAGGACAACTCCAAGAAATTATGGAAAAATTGCAATGTCAGGCTGGTATAAAGCTTAGTTGTAGAGCTTGCATGGTATGTATGAGTCCCTGGATTCTGTTCCCAGCACCACAAAACCAAGGGAAGGAAGAAGGGAAAAAATTAAAATGTCATATCCTTATTGTAGGATTTTAAGAAATATTTTCTTCCACAAGACTTTGCAAGATATAAATGTGTCTTACTAAAACAATCAAAATGTTTTCCCAAGGATTCCCAAAATACTTTCATAAGTAGGAGAAAAATTACCAGGCCTCAAAAAAAAAAAAAAAAAAATCCATCCCCCCACAGGAATGGGGATTGAACCCAAAGGCACTCTACCACTGACCTGTAGGTATGTATACCCAGCCTCTTTTTCAGATTTTAAGGCAATCTCACCAAATGGCTGAGGCAGGCCTCTGATTTAATCCTCCTGCATCAGCCTCCCAAATCACTGGGACTTCAGGCATGCACCACTGTACCTAGTATCAACCTGCATGCCAAATTAGTAATATTATTTGCTCCTAAAAAAACATCTGTAGTTGGTGCCACATAAGATTTAACCAAGAAACTTAAGAAATCTTTTCTCAATAAGGTGACAATCAGCTTCAGAGATGCTGAGGAGAATGCAATCTGGATCCGAGTTGCCTGGGGAACACAGTGTACAAAGCCAAACCAATACAAACCTACATATGTGGTGCATTACCCCCAGACTCCCTACGCCTTCACCTCCTCCTCCAAGCTGAAGAGCATTATGCCCCTTCTGGGTCAGGTATGGAACAGATTACTATTAGCTGTAACCTTCTATTATCCTCATCTCAAAGTCTGTATGGATTTAAACCACTCAATAAGCATTTGATATAGAATACTGCATTTAATTCCATTCTAAAATAAGGAGCAGAAAAGCATTTTTATCTACAAGTAGAAATGTGGCATCAGGTATTAGTTTGGAATTAAAGAAGAAATACATGCTTAATGTAAAAAACAAATACAATCAACACTAAAAAGTCTTTAAAACTTCAATACCCCCTTAATTCCCATTTATCCAAAATAACATTAGTTTTCTGTTTCATTTCAAAAGATGTTTTATTACAAAAGCCAGGGTGGTACATGTGGTTCTGTAATTTGTGTTCTAACTTAACAGAACATTTCCATATGGTTACATACAGTGATTTTTTTTTCTGATTGTACAATGTGTCTACTAAGGACCATTATTGACATTTATAATCATTGTCCCCATATTTTGTGCATAAGAAGATTGCTGTGACCTAAGATGCAGCTTTTGTCTAGAGCATCCCACTCTTTGTGGTTCTGCATTGCATATTACGGAATTTTTCACGTCTTTCCCCAAAATGAGCCACCCCTAAATTGGCCTGGCAACTGCTACTGCCCCTTTTAGCATTCATAACTACCATAGCACCTCCCATTGTTCTAGAGCTCCCACTTCATCTGGTTGGAAGGCAGCAACTCCATCATCCTGACTGCTTCGTCTCCTTGTACACCCGAGTCTGGCAGAGCAAAGTGGAGTACTACCCACTAGACTGTCATGGAACCCAAAAGCCGTAGGCAATACAGGTTATATTGCCTGTCACTTAAGATCCTTGGTGGTTTATTGGACAGCAGATGGACACCTGCTTGCTTTTATTCTCTCTAACACTTAATTCTACTTCTTTACATTTGGGGTTTCTTCATTCAGGATACATAGTGGACAATCATCCACTTACAGCCAGGTGAGTGCACCCTGCTACAAGTAATTTAAATATCACCCCAAAGGATAATGTTCAGGGCTGGGGTTGTGGCTTAGTGGTAGAGCACTCGCCTTGCTCATGCGAGACCCTGGGTTCGATCCTCAGCACCATATAAAAATAAATAAAATAAAGGTATTGTGTCCAACCACAACTAAAAAATAAATATCTTAAAAAAAGGATAATATTCATTCTTACTGTGTATCTTAAGACAAACTTATCTCTACCTTCTAGACCAGGTAAATTACCTTATTCAAGTAATTCTGTTTCAGTCTTCTAACTTGTTTTCCAAGTGACAGGAAGCTCTTGTAAACTGCATTTAATACACAGCTTTTTCTTTAGTGGTTCTCCTAAAATATTTTTATTTTTGCATGAGAATCTCTTGTAGCATTGGATGACTAATATTCTAAAACGTTTGAGTATTTTTCATTTTAAGTCTGAACAGGATAAATAGGATCATGTTTCTAAAACTGCCTGCCCGTATGAGAATCTTTAATGCCAGTGACCACATTTTTGTTTAAACTGACCATTTCTTTTCACTTTTTAGTGGAAACTGTTCACTGATTGTAGCCTCTATATTTAACCTTGACAAATATTATAAACACGGCAACAGTAATCCTAATAGCATTGCTCATTTTCAATCCAAGGCACTGACAGTTGCTAGCAAACACCATCAGATTGTGAAAATGGATCTGAGAAGCCGACATCTGGACTCTCTCAAGGCTATTGTTTTTAAACAGTATGATCAGGTAAGCCAATCAGCAACTCCATTTTTAATGTTGAATCACGTTAGAAACAGAATCAATGTGCAGGTGGGATTCCACCTGCAACAGATCACTTTATAAATTAATGAAATGGAGAACACTTTCAGTTAGTTAACGTGAACAAAAACAAAATAATTTCTCACTATCATCTTTTTATTATTGTATAAATTTATTGTATCATGTTTTATGTCACTCATTTGTCATTGGAGTCTGTTAGATCCCAGTTTCCAAATCAGCCATTCTGATTAGAATTTATTTTCACTTTAGAGTAACTTGATGCTGTCTTTTGAAGCTAAATATATTACTCTCATGCAAAATCGAAACATAATTTTTGTTATACCAGTTAAGCAGGTGACATGGGTTGAAATTAAAGGGAAAGCATGGATTTATCGAGTCCCATGTTGATTTATTTGTTAAAATTATTTAAATATGTGGTTGTTCCTTAATGACAAAGATGGATCTGTCCTTACTCACAGGCTCTGGGATTTTCCTGTGTGTGTGGCAAATGTTTGCTGGTGTGTAGGGGGTGGTCAATGCTCTATGTGTCTTTGAGTCCTTACAGATGTTATCTTTGTGTGTTCTCATCTGTTCTTGGTAGAAAGAAGTGATGGCTCTGCAAGTCTCTCTTTAAGGAAGAAAATCCAATGTGAAGAAGTATAGAATTTTCTCTCCCAGCTGTCCCCCCTCCTCCCACCAAATTGATACCAATTGTTCTGTTATGACAGTTTGATTCCTAAGGAAATTCACATATTCGAATATTAATTATAAAAACAGTGGCTTCGGTAGGGAAAGATGAGAGAAGAGCTTCTAGAGATTCAGACTCATAGTAGGACAGTTATTTTCACAAATGGGATCTCGGTAAATTTGTTAGGGTTATGAAGAGAGTTGGAAAGCTAAAACGTCAGTGTCTCTGTTTTCTTAGCTTCTGCACTCACACTGAAAATTGAGATTACAATGCAATGTAATATGAGAAATAAAAAACAAAACACAGAAAGATGGAAACAAGTCAGATAATACCTGTACTTCTTCCAAATTCACTTTTATTTATTTATTTTTTTTAAAGAGAGAGTGAGAGAGGAGGGGGAGAGAGAGAGAGAGGGAGGGAATTTTTAATATTTATTTTCTAGTTCTCGGCGGACACAACATCTTTGTTGGTATGTGGTGCTGAGGATCGAACCCGGGCCGCACGCATGCAAGGCAAGCGTGCTACCGCTTGAGCCACATCCTCAGCCCCCCAAATTCACTTTTATGATCACAAATTACAGAGTTCCTCAAACAAGACAGCCAAGCTGCAGGCCCCACCAGATAATCTGCCAGCATCCTATATTAGGGGCAGTGCTTAGCTCAGCCAGGAAGTAGCCTCAGATGTCCTTTTGTTGAAAAAAAATAAAGATTTAGCATACATTCACATATTAAATCCAATTAATATCTGTACTTTAAGGTTTAAAATTAGATAAATATTCTTTATTTCTCCCCTCCCTCTAGACCTTTGAAAATCACAACTCTACAACACCTCTACAGGAAAGATGCCTGGGACTAGATGTAAATAGTATGTATGTTTTCATATGAAACTGAAATTTGGAAGTGCATTATTCCCTTTTCAGATTTTTGTTAGTAATGACACATGTACTCAGATTCTGATTCAAAACTATTTATTGCTTTCAGAAAAACTGAAAATTAAATATTTGTTGAAAGAAGAAAGGCAAGCTACCATATGTCTCCTTATGAATTTCCTAGAATGATATCTAATAACAAAAACAACAGCTAACTAATAGTTGTTGAGCTTTTCTTTTTGTGTCCAGCACAATACCAAGATGTTTATCTGTATTATTTCCTCAGTCTCCACAGTAGTTCCATCAACAAGTGCTATTCATTGGGAAACTTGGGTTTCAGAACATCTTAGTAATTCCAGGCAAAGCACATAGGTAGGAAGTGGCAGAGCCAGACGTAATCCCAGGCCTGAATGACTGTGAGCCCACAATCCCAGTGTACTGGTTTGAGAACGTCAGAGTAGTGACTGTACTGATACTTTTAGATGGCCTATGTCTCCCTAGAAAACCTGACAGAAAAGAATATGTAGCTAATAAGGTAGACCCCGAAGTTCACAAAAGTGCCTGGTGTAATATGAAGTTTTAAAAATTGCTTACTTTCCCATCTCCTATGCTATGGTGAATTAGTAATAAATAGAAACAATATAGCTGTTGCAAGCCAACATGTTTATAACTTTCCAGTGGCATAGGAAGTGCTATTGATTTCATGTTAGCAAAAAAGCAGAATGCAAAACTGTATTTTATAACCCCGGCTTCAAAAAAATACACAGACACACACACACACACACATACGCACAATCTTTTTATTCATTGTGAAAAGAACTGGGCTAAAATATTAACTGTATTTATCTCTTGTTGGTAGAATTACTGGTATTTTAATTCTCTTTAATCAGCCTGTAATTTCCAAGTGTCCTACATAATAATTTATTATAATCAAGAAAAGGAACAGGCAACATTATTTTAAGTTATATGAATAGCTTGAAAATTAGGAATATAAAGAGAATACTATAAGGATGAAGTATATTCCTAATGGCTGTTTTAATTTAAAATCCTGCACCTACAGTGGATTCAAGGATCATTCATGAAAACAAGGTAGAAAACGAGAGAGTCCAAAGAATAACTCAAGAATCTTTTGGAGACTATCCTCAACCACAACTAGAATTTGCACAATATAAGGTAGGATGTTGCCATAAACATTACCTGCAACTTGTTGGCATTTTTTAAAGAGGAAAAAAACCTTTTTAATGTGGAAAAAAACAAATTTAAATGTTTCATTTTCATTGTTCACCTTAATTTTGTATAATAAATATAAGTTAAATAGATCTCTTTATTATAAGTTTCTGTGTTCATAAAGGAAACCTTTTGAAATTCTGTATTTGCCTGTTCTCTTACATATTAATTCAGGTATGTATAACTGGCTCTGATCTCTATTGGGGGAACGAGGTTACACCTTCTAGCCCATCCACACCTAGAATAGTACTTGGCAAATTGGTGCTCATAAATACTTGTTAATAAAAAAGAAAGTGAATAAACAACTCATTATAGGGGCTGGGGATGTGGCTCAAGCGGTAGCGTGCTCGCCTGGCATGCGTGCGACCCGGGTTCGATCCTCAGCACCACATACCAACAAAAGATGTTGTGTCCGCCGAGAACTTAAAAAAATAAATAAATAAATATTAAAAAAATTCTCTCTCTCTCTCTCTCTCTCTCTCTCCCTCCCTCTCTCCCTCTCTCCCTTCACTCTCTCTTTAAAAAAAAAAAAAAACAACTCATTATATAGCCTTGCTGGCATTACATAGTGATACTGCAAATGTAGCTTATTCCAGAAGTGTGTTGCTACCTACCACAAGGGCCAGAGAGGGGATATAGGTGTTTAATGCAAGCCCATTGCCACCATTAGGAAAACTTAAAGGTTTCTATCATGATCACCCCATTCTGAGTCTATGTTCATATTCATATCATCTTCTGTGCTCCAAAAAAAATTATTTCTATTTGGCATTCTTGCAGCTGCAAGACACACTTAAAATCTGCTTTGAACCTACTCACTTAGGTCCAAAGCCTATTTGGTTTGATTTTTTTTAGTGAGAGAACTTGATTGAAACTTTTTAAGTAGGGTTCCCTTAACGACAGGTTTTAACCAATGTCCTTTAAAGAGCTTGTAATCCAGGACAGTGGGGTTCTCAGTGTGTGGTCCCCAGACTGACAGGATCAGTATTACCTGGAAATGGATAAGTGGCGTAGATTCCTGGCACCATTCCACTTCTAGGTTAGGGGAGTCAGCAATTTGTTTTCACAAGCCCTCTACTGATTTTGCACATTAAAGCTGAAGAGCAGTTGGTCTAGGATATAAAGATTTGATTCACAAACTTCCTTTTATACACATCTTAGAGCTCTAAAGTCTAAGTACACGTTTATTCTCACATGCTACTAGTTTTTTTGTACCCTTTCTATTTTGAAAAACAGAAAATTGGCAGTAATACTACAGTGAATATCCATTTCTTCTTCATTTTAATTCATCAGTTGTTACATTTTGCCACACTTTTTATTCTGAACCATTTGAATTTGTTGCAGATATTATTGATCCCCCAAATATTTCAGATTATTATCTCTAAATACTAAAATACTAAAAATCACTTTAAGTTAAATGAATAGTTGAAATTTAAGTACCTATTGAAGTAGAAAAACTTAGATATTTCTGTATGGTAGTGGTATTGAGGTTCAGTTTTTTTAAAGACTTCTTCCAGATCTCTTAGATACATGCTGACAGAATTCTATAGTGTCTTGGATTTACATCAAAACAGTGCAGTGGGGGTGGGCAGTGGGGAGTGGAAGATGGGATAACAGATGAAACCAGACTGGCCACAAGTTGATAATTGATTCAGCTGGGTCATGTGCACATGGGACCCATACTGTGCTTCTTACTTCTATACATGTTTTACATCTTCCTTAGTAAGAAATTGAAGTGTGTTGAAATGGTATATACAAAGGCAGCAGTAATTTTCCACTAAGAATTCAAACTGAAGGACGTGTGCAGGTGGAACCAAAGTGGAGCATTCCCTGTGCCGGGCCCTGTGCAGCTGTTATTCTGTGCTGGATGTCCTTAATCCTGCTGGGTGCTCGAATTTTTGCAGTTAGCAAAGTAAATGATCTCTCTCTCCATTGATTACTGTATTTCTTTCTTTTTTTTTTTTCAAATAAGTGCCTTTTATTTTTATTTATTTTTAGAGAGAGAGAGAGAGTTATTTATTTATTTTAGTTTTCAGTGGACACAACATCTTTGTTTGTATGTGGTGCTGAGGATCGAACTCCGGGCCTCAGGCAAGCCAGGCAAGCATGCTACTGCTTGAGCCACATCCCCAGCCCCTAATTACTGTATTTCTTGATGACAATAATTAAATATATAATCTGATTTCATACTTTTACCATTCTAACTGATAATTGTCATGTATAAATATATTTATTGATAGCTTGAAACGAAGTTCAAAAGTGACTTAAATGGGGGCATCTTGGCTGAGAGGAAAGAACCCCTCCGGTGCCTAATAAAATTCTCTAGCCCACATCTTTTGGAAGCATTGAAATCCTTAGCACCAGCTGGTGAGTGATCGATTTATTTTTATTTTACAGATTAGACCAATTAACAACAGACCTGCCTTTGATTTTTCTCTTATTGAATAATATTAATGGGGGAGAAATCATAATCCACCTTCTAATCTTGACCATTTTTAAAGTGACTTACATCTTTGCTCCTGTGATTATTATAACCTTTTTCTTTTTTATTTGTATTTCAGGTATTGCAGATGCACCACTTTCTCCACTGCTCACTTGCATACCAAACAAGGGGATGAATTATTTTAAAATCAGAGACAAATAAGCTGTATAAGGTTTTGTAAACCCAGGGGCTCCTTGGTGATGCTGTACAAGCATTCCAGTTAATGGCTAGATGGACAGCCTCTGGCAGTAATCTTTACTTTAGAAATTAATCCTTAGTATTGACAATGTAGAAGTGTTTCTATAATTTTGGGACTGATTCTTTCCTTCTTGTGCCTCCTCTCCCACTTTTCCTGCTAAATATAGCAGTTGTGGGCATTTGAGAGGTCACAGGATATGTATTGGGCTCTGGATTGACCTTGATAGCACAGAATGCTCTGAAGCCAAGCATATGGCACTGTGGTTGATCCTGTTGGCCTCATATATAGTGCCCTTTTCCCYACTCCTGCCTCTATTCAATCCTAGGAAGGACTAGTTCCTATTGTTCCTTTCTAGGGATCTTCTGTTAAGCCTTGATCACTTAAAAGGAACTATATCCAACTCGGAACTTCTAGAAGAATCATAAAATTAGTCCATTCAGAGAATAGAATTGGGTCTACTAATTGTTACTGGAGGAAGTTACATATCCAATGACTCATTTTTATAAAATAATTGTTTCATTGTAAATATGATACTTTTCATAATGCATTTTATCATACATGTAACATCCAAACTGACCATTATAATACTTATTTGTAAATAAAGATACTGAAAAACTGGTATATCACTTCTGATGAAAATCCTTCATGACATCACTAAATAACATACTCCTTTTTTTTTTTTTTTTGGTAGTGCTGGGGATTGAACCTGGGGCCTTGTACATGTGAGGCAAGCACTGTACCAACTGAGCTATATCCCTAGCCCCAAATAACATGCTTCTGTAATAGCATTTTAAAATCTAAATATATTCCCTATCTTGTTCCAGAGAAGATTAATGTTACACAAACATTCTACAATTATAAAATTAAAAGGTGAGGAAATCTGGGCAGATGGGCATATAAGAAAGGAGAACAAAATATGAGTAAGCTAAGACTACTATATAAGAATGTATAAGTGACTCTCCAGTTGCAGGAAGGGTGAAAAGTTACCATGGAGTGCCAGTAGCCAAAGGAGGAAAGAAAACACCAGTCTGTGAGTAAAGATGCTTAAAAACTGGACCATCTGTTACTTTTGATAAAAGTTTAAAAAGGTTTAATATACAGAATATAAAAACAAAGTCAGAACTAAAGGAGACTAAATAATACTTTATAATGTCATTCTATTTAGGACATCTTAAATGGGAGAACGTAGCTTTTAGATGTAATTTAGAATTGTCAGATACTTCAGTCATCCCCAAGTGAGGCACCAAGTCTGTTGGGGTTTAATGATTCTAGTTTCCCTTTGGCCATAGTCATGGTTTAGGGCATCTTTCCCTGTGTGTGCATGCTAAGTAGGTATTCTGCCCAGTGCTTGAATGCCTGTGTTAGATCAGCAGAAGCCTAGATTCCTGGGTGATTTTCCCATGGGCTCACAGCTCTCCCTGGTGCATGGTTGGAATATGTATCTACAGTCTGAACAAGAAAGACACTAGTCATATTATCTATGTACAGTGGAATCTCTTGAGACTGCTTTCTCTGGCCTTCTCAGACAGCCTCCTGCTTACAAAAGTGACATTACTAAGGGCTTACCCAGTCATCAAGTTATGCACTTGATCATCACCCTTCAAATGCTGCTTGGACACTGATGCAGCAGTTAAGTGCAGGGTCAATGACCTCCACAGTCAATTGAAAGTTTTCCAAAAATGAATAAATAAATAATGCTCATTGAACACTTAGTAAGTATCAAGTACTGTGCTAAATGTCCCATTGACTTATTTTCATAATCTCATAAAGCAGACAGCATTACTAATTTTGTTTTACTGAAGCAAAAGCCAGCAGTCATAATCAGCCAGCATTCTAGACACTATTAGGCTAAATCATTCCCCCCCCCCTCAAAGCATCCACATCATTGTTATCCTAGGAGCCAAAGGGACTTTGCAATTGGAAGATCACCTGGATGGGCCCAATGTGACCATAAGGGTCCCCAAGAGTAAGTAGAACGTAGTACAGCAATAGCTGCTTGCCTAGCATGCACAAGACCCTAGGTTCAACACCCAGCACCACAAAAAATGTGGGAAGAAAAGGTGGAAAAAAGAATAAAAGTCACAAGAAGAAACAACTACTGAAGAAGTCAGTGGGATGTGATGGGACAGATTCAACTCACTGATTTGGGTGGGAGAAGAAAGGGCCATATATCAAGGGATGCAGACTACCTCTAGAGGCTGGAAAAGGTAAGTAACCAGTCTCCCCCAGAGCCTCCAAAAGGAGCCAGCCCTGCTGACACCTTGCTCTTGGCCAATAACACCCATTTCAGACTTCTATTATAGAACTGTAAGATGTTACATTTGTTAAGATACCAATTTTGTGGTCCTCTGTGATTAGCAGTAGAAAACTTACAGATGCTAATATCTAAAAATTGGAAGTTCTTTCACACATACAACTAGCAATACCAGAGATGAATAGCAGCCACCACCCCTTTTAAAGATGTATTTCCAATTTACTGCAATCCTTACCCCTCCCTTTTGTCTACCACCACCACATATTCCCATTTACAGGATTCCTGGTCTTTCTAGGTAGGTCTCCATGTACTGAACTACACTGTCTCCCGAAGAGAAATAGAATTTCAGCAAGTAAAATACAGTCAAGTAAATATGAATGCCTTAAAAGAATCGATCCTGACAACTGTAATGATCATTTCATCCCTAGTGTGACATTGGGCCCTTGGTACTTGATTTTTTTTTTCTTTTTGGTCCTTTTTTTTTTTTTTTTTTTTTTAACTTTGAGACAAGGTCTTGGTAAGTTGCTGAAGCTCTCACTAATTGCTCAGGCTAGGCTCAAGTTTGGAATCCTCTTGCCTCAGCCTCCTGTGTCTCTGGAATTACAGGTGTATGCCATGACACCCGGCAAGTTACTTAATTTCCCTAAGCCTAAATTTCCTTTTTGCACAATGGAGACACACCTGTTTCTGTGGTTTTGAGGACACAAATGAGATACTAAGTGGAAACTGCAACCTTCAGAGCCTGGTTCGTGGTATGCTCAATGAAGCACAGTAGAAATTAGGGTTACTGCCTCTCGTGCAGTTGACCTTTGGGGTTCTTGATGATCTTTAGGAATCAGAGCTCCTCAACGCGTTGCTCTTTCTCTCCACCTGCTGCCGGAGGTCGAGTTCCTAGGAAAGCTAAGAACCAACCATCAACCAGACCAAATACTCTTTACCTGCTGGCTTCAAGCTTTCCCTCCACATCCTCCCTTGGTGTGCGCTCCTGCGGGCACGCGTTTTCCGCCACCGATAGGTGGCGCCGCAGCCGCCGTGCCGGCCGGATTCTAATGAGCCCGGCAGCCCCGCCCCCTTCCGGAAGTGGCTGCGGCGGAGGCGGGGCCTGCGAGCTGGTCGGGCGCCGTGCGGGAGCCATGGCGGCCTCGGAGGCGGCGGCGGCGGCGGGGCCCGCGGCTCTGGCGGCGGGCGCTCCTCCCGTCCCGGAGGCCGCGCGGGGAGCCGCCGCCGCCGCCTCGGGCCCGTGGGGGCCCCTGGGGTCCCGGCTGAGGGGCAGCCGGCCGCGGCCCGCAGCGGCACGGCAGCAGCCCGCGGCCCCGGCGCCGCCCGCGCGCGAGCTGATCCAGCCGTCGGTGAGCGAGCTGTCGCGGGCGGTGCGGACCAACATCCTGTGCACCGTGCGCGGCTGCGGCAAGATCCTGCCCAACAGCCCGGCGCTCAACATGCACCTGGTCAAGAGCCACCGCCTCCAGGTGAGCGCCGCGCGGCGGCCGGACAAAGCGGCCTGGGGCGCTGGGGTGGCCGCGCGGGGGCGGCGGCTCCCGGCTCCAGCCCCGGCGTGGCCTCGCGTGGCTTCGCCCTGCCGCGCCTGGCGAGGGCGCCTTGTCCGGGTTCTGTGGATGAGAAACAGGTGCTGCCCGCTTGCTTTCCGCCTGCCAGCGATGCCAAGTGGGTCCTGCCCAGTTGTTAGAAAGCAGCTGCTGCAGTTTGGCCCTAAGTGCCGTCACTTGCTTAGGAATGGGACCCCAGGGACTTCCCGTGGGTTTCCGTTAGGAGGGCAACAGTGTAACGTGACAGGTCTGAGAAACCCACATTATGTAAAAGGGGGCGTGATTTTCAACCTTTGGTGCACTCTATGGAAAGGCTATTAAAAATCCAGATGACTGGCCCCACCCCAACCTATTAAGTCATAATTTCTGTCATTACTGTCATGCCAGCAGTGACAAAATAGGAAAACGTAAGTCACTGTAAAGCATGTTTGTGTATATGTAGCTTTCCAGCGTCTGAGTTGACTCGATTACCCAAGTGTTGCATGTTCTGAGCTTCAGGTAAATCCTCATAGGAAACCATCTTCGAACCTGACTTCTGACAAGATCAACAGGAATTCTGAGGTTGTAATCCGTAGTGGAACAGATAAACGTGTTGTCTGGGAAGGTGATCTCTTTTACACCAACAGAACCAAAGATATAACCGCGTTCTCTTGTGAAAATCTGTCAGGCAATGCGCAGGGGGTATGCTGAGGGAGACCTGCAGGCAGGCTGTGGTGTTATACAGAAGAGTTGGGTTTCCCAGAATGATCTTCAATGTACTGTTTTCTCTTTCATACTAAATTTTAACTAAATCTAACGTTGGTCGGAGATTCTCCAGCCTGATACCTAGGTTCTTGACCCACCTTCAGTGTTGTCCCCTGGCTGGTAGACATAAGTATGTCTCTGAGCATAAAGCAAAGCTGCCAGTTTGTCCAGGAACCTCTCTTGTGTTAACGAAATTATTCTAACCAGCATTTCTTAGCAATTTATATTTTTCTTTTCTTTGGATTTGCTGTTGGGAACTCTAACTTTCAAGATGTTGTTAAGCCTCTGTTTAACATAAATATACCACTTAGTCTTCAGGACTAGTTTGACAGTATGAGTAGGTTTATTTCTGATTATGTTTTTAAAATAATGTAAAGGTCAGAAATCCACAAGAGACAGTACATAACATAAAATAGGCCTGAGAAAAAGTATGTTTGAACCAATACAGGGTTTTTTTTTGTTTTTAATATTTTATTTTTTAGTTTTCGACGGACACAACATCTTTGTTTGTATGTGGTGCTGAGGATCAAACCCGGGCTGCACGCGTGCCAGGCAAGCTCGCTACCACTTGAGCCACATCCCCAGCCCCCAATACAGGTTTTGATAGTTAAACCTTCACATGGACTTAAGTATTTCAGAATACTAGTATCCTCCTTTGCCTAGAAATTAGGTGAAGTCATTTGGTTTTCGTCATTCACTTTTCAGTTTTCTTTTATCTGAAGACAGCACAATATACTCAGGATCTCTTTCTGAACTTAAATGTAGAGCAGTGAAAGATGAACATTTCAAAGATTCCTTCAAAGTCACTGGATCAACCTTTTTAAGCAAGAATTAAACTCTGTTTCAGAGCCATCACTATTTTTGTTTTTATTTTTTCTTTTCAAACAGCTCACTTTGCTATATTCTTCTGCTGATTATTTGTT